GAAGAAGGTGTGGAAAATCTGCATCCACCAAAACCTCAGCTATTCACATATTAATCACTGGGGCTAACCACACAGATCCAAATGGGCGCTTAGGAGCCGATGAAGCCTTTAAGGCATTCAAAAAAGAAACATCATACATTTTCTAGCACATAAATGTGTTTAAAAAGGTATATAATTTATAATAGCAATGTTGACAGAGCTTTAACTACATTACAAATGCTATGCTATAATATATTTACATGTGAGCAGTACTTACTGTGTGGGTGCGTCTCTGTTGATGTGTTTCCATGTGATTCTCCATAATTTGAGCAAGTGATTGTAGTAAGGGATATTAAACTGTAGTATTGATAATACTTTTACAGCTCTGCTTTGGGAAATGCATTACTGCTAAATTAGTCCCTGAAAATCTAGAGATATTAACACTGTCGAGCATGAAGGCAGATGGGATTTGGATCAGAGACCTTTATTTGTAGTATGATACTAAGGAGTCATTACTTTAAAGCAGGAACTTCGTTTCCTTGAATATTAACTCGGGTTGGGGATTTTACTTCCGCTTTGGCACGAACAAGCTTATCATAAAAGCATAAATGGAACTCGCTTGGTATTGATTTTTCTTATGCTCTAAAAAGATGCTTAATGAAACTCTAGGTACCTCGATAAAGACCTTTACTGAATGCAAAGTAAGCTTAATTGCAGTTCCCTTAACAAGCTGCTGGAGATGAATTTTTTTCCTACGACAAAGCCCTTTCACCTATTGAGGTTGTTTCTCTTCCTGTGTGTGCCAGGATGCATTAATTCAGCCGCTTTTTTCCTTCCCCGCCTGCCTCCCTCCCCTCGCTCCGAGGTAAACTGCAGCTTAACGATGGGAAAACTTCACCGGTTCATGCGTGGAAAAAATGTCAGTGCTGGGGAACTTGATTTTTGAGGTCTCAGTAAGATGTTTGGTCTTAAAAGAGAGTCAGTGACCCTCTCCTGCTTCAGCAGAAGGGGAGGTGGGCATGGAGGCGCACTCTGACGCTGCACGACAGAATTGCAGCAAAACCAGAACCTGAACTGAGGTTTTCCTAGTGTTTGTCCTTAGACCTGTCACTGCCAGATCCTGCAACCGTCCCAGAGCGGAGGCAGGACTTTTATTTTCACCCTCCATCAGGGCAAGCCCCAAAGCGAATAGGAAGGGTAGGTCCAGATGAGTCTCTTCCTCGCGGAGAGCAGCATTTGTGCTCTTGAGGTTGTGAAGGAAGCAACAGTGTTCCCTGATCGTGGCCACCCTGTCTCCTGTAGGTCTGGCTCGTGCTGCTCGCTCGGAGCCCTGTTAATGCTTAATTAGGTTCTTTTCATTCTCCTCTCAGTAATTTTTTTCTCCCCCAATGCGGGGGGCCTGCCAGAGGCTGCATCTCTGCCTGGTGCCAGGTCTGTGCGATGTCCGTGGGTCCTGCGGGGACCTGGTGCAGCTGATGCGACCTGCCTGACGCTGCTGTCCAAAGCCACCGTGCTCCCAATTGCCACCACTGCTCCTACTGGGAACGCCCCTGTCACCAGGAGCAATCTGTCCCCTCTGCAGTTTGCTCAGAGTCGATACGTATAAAGCGTGCTATCGGTGTTAATGACACAGAATGCCTTCAAGCCCCTCTTTCTGCTGCTGTGCGAGAAACTGTTCCCGCAGAAAATGTCAGATGGCTAAAAGATGGCATCATTTCATTTCTCTTTTCCTGTGCCACCACTATCACGAAGCAAGAAAGCCGGGTGTTTAGCACACTCGGGGGTAGCCGCACAGTGCCAGGGGAGCCCCTGGATGAGGTGTAAGCCCAGGAAACCTCTTGCTCTTTCCTTTCTTAGAGTCAATCTTGCTTTTGTTCATGCTCCAAAGAGTGATAAGTTGGGGAATTTTGCTGAGGATTTGAGTAGGAAGATAGAGCAGCTTTGCGTCAGGTGCAGAGTAATTATTTGCTGGGGTTCTGTGCTATTTGGTTTTTATTCCCTGTGTTTTCATTAAAAGCTAATGAGTTTTTTCTTCATTCAGAACAATAGCTTGGCCCCTGACAAGTTGTTGGTTGTTTTTTCTGCTTGGACTCGACTAGCTGTTGCTGCTCCATAAACTTTATGGAGAAGTGGATTAAAGCACAAGAAGTTCTCGTAATGCAAATCCAAATGGAAAGGCAATAGGGTTCAGTTTAAGGTGCTGTACGTGCGGAGTTTTTGTTGATCTCTTCTTGTTACTGAAACAATAAGCAGTGTTTGAAAATATTCCCGGTACCGAACCAACCAAAATGCCTCTGTTGGTGTTGATTTGTGCTGCAGCAATTCACTCGATTTGGAGTCCTGCCATGCTTGGCATGATACGCGCATGTACACACCTCAGCCTGGGCGTATTTGAGCGGGTTATGGTAGCTTGCACGAACACGTGAAATCCTGGATTCCACTCCCGCGTGGGGACAGCAAGAGCGAGCACGTTTTTGGTGACATCCCCCCCTTCCCCCCCCATCCGGTATTTCATGCCTGGGAATTCTTCTGCCCGAACAGAGACCGTTGTGGCGTGGTTCTGCCCCGTGGTTGACGTGCGTACCAGCTTCTCCCGCCGTTAAAGCCCGTGACTTGTTCTTGCAAGTAACTTTCCTGATTGGGCCCTTGTTCTTGTTCCAAATGGTTTACTGCAGCCACGCGCCGGTGCGTGAGCCGTGCCTCCCCAGCGTGGTGGCTGCACCGTGCCTCGCTGCCTCCTGCTAGTCGGGAACCGGGAACAGTTTGCTCGTTATCGCAATAATCCTGCACCTGTACCTCGTTATAGGGGACACCTGTTACCTTGGTGTTTGTTTGAAAAGCCGGGTTTAGCACGGTGCAGTTGGGTTGAAGGAAAATGTTCTTTTTAAGGGGCTGAATGAGCTTATGGAAACTGTCTTATAATGCTGGCATCTTCACATCACTGCAGAGAGCCGAGCCCGCAACCCTGCAGCGCGGCACAGAGGAAGGCTCCTCATTAGGATGAACGCTGCGTTTTCCTATGCTGCGGAGCTGTTGTTATTTGGTAGCAGCTTTTTAGAGCCTTTTTATCAGAGGATCTCAAAGTGCTACAGGAAAACAGGGAAGAAACATCCCCTTGTCACACACAACTGAGCAAAGAACTGAGTTCTCCAAGGTCAGGCGGTCAGTCGTGCGCTCATGGACGCACTCCACCTCCAGCAGAGCCGGGGGTTTCAGTCTCTGCTTTTTAACCCCTAATTGTTTGTTTTCTCATGGAGGCGCATGCATGAATTTGGGTTTGTTGTAGCAGAGAGGAATGTGCTTTGCTCACTCTCCGTGACTTAGAGGTAGTCTGTGGATGGAAGGCGGCTGCAGTACCACCTCTGCTGATGCCTGATCCTGCAGGAGGGGTCGGAGCCTGCCCTTTTGCGCTAGGGACATGCAGCTCGCTTCTCAGCGTGAGAGCTTAGTAACGCAGGGGCTGCAGGATGCACCTCCCAAAAGGAGAAAAGTTACTTTCTGAATTTCATTTTTCTCCGGAATCTGATGTTCTGCACTGTGTACTGGGGTGGCTGCTGGAAGCAAGTGAGCATGGAGCTGGGAAAAGATTTGATGACTTCTCGGGCTCTTTCCCCACTAGGAAAGTTGTAATGGCTTAAATGGTGGGCTGCCAGGGACCCCTCTGTCCTGTCATTGACCCCCATAGGCCTTTGGTAAATCTCAAAGTCAAATCTTCAACTGGTTTTTCAATACCTTTGAGCTTATATCATCAGCAAGACTACCACAGTATCTGGTACCTGGTGTGATTTGTATTTCAAGGAACTGATCTGTGAGAGGACAACCTCGTGTGCATTGCGCTCTTCTCAGCCAGATTGTTCCTTCTGGTGAAGAACTGGTTTTCTTGAAAACGTGCCCTTGATTGTAGGAGCCTGGGGTCTGCGAGAGCTTCATGCTCAGAGCAAGCAAGGGAAGGTTGCAACCTGGGATGTTGAAAATAAACCTATCTGAAATATTGTGGCGTGTCTTTCTGCAGCTGGAGACTCAATGGCGTCTCCACTGTGTTTCTTGGTGGGAGGACGAGCGTTGTAACCCTTCGTTCCAGGCCTTGGTACCCTTTCATCAGTGCTTGATTTTTAAACCGTGGGGCACAGTTCCTCTGTTTGCTGAGATAAAACTTGGTTTTAGTGTTTGAACACAATTAACATCAGCTGAAAACTCGCCTTTTGTGCTGTTTGTTGTGTGTTGAATGAGGGAGCAGCTGTCTTTACCTCCGTTATCAGCAGTCTGGGCTGTGTGTATTCAGGAATTGCAAGGCAAAAGCTTGAAAGGCCACTTTTTCGCTTTGTTTAGGGTGAGTAGTATTTTCTTCTACAGGTAGGCTAGCTGAACTCCATTTATATTAAAATTTGATATTAACATCTGTCACTGTAGTATCGAAGTGCCTCCTGGATAAAATCCAATATCAGTAGCAAATTTCCTAGCAAAATGTCTGCTCGGAGAAAAATTCAGTGCAGCATCAAGAATGGGGGGGCAATAGCTTGTGCCCCCCCACACAGACACTCGGCTTTGTTAATTTGTACATGACTGCCTGTCCTAGGGAGTCAATCTTTTTTTCCCTACCACTCTTCAGTTAAGGATGTCCAAGCTTTTTCTTACAATATAGGAAGAGTCTTCATTCGAGTGAAGCAGGTAGCGTAGCCCTCCATTTTGCAGATGGGTGATTTATGCAGAGGTGATATCCTGAGGGCAAGAACAAGGAACTGGATACAGCTCTGGTAGTTTGGCCCCGAGAGTGGTATTTCCAGCCTCCTCCATGTGTGAAGTCTGTGCATATCCAGTGTGAGTTCTCGCAGCAGGACTTTATGTGCTGCCTTGGCCCTAAATGGTGAATCTGGCCTTAAACCCACAAAAGTGGCTTTGGGTTTTGTAGAGAACTTCAGTGGAAGGTGGGAAGAGGAGGAAACGCGTCTCATGGTGTAGGCAATAAGATTTGGATTTAGAAATGAGTCCTTTTCACTAAAATCTGTCTCTCCTCTTTCCAGGAGAGGATCAGCATGACACTGGCTTTGGACAGGACAGTTCTGATGAAAATCAGAGCTGGAGTTTGGCTCCTTCCATGACATCTGATGCTTCGTTTCCATCGGACTTCCAGGATGATGGTAAGTCACTGATGTTTTTTGAAGTCCTTGAGTGAAGAAGATGGAAAGTAAGTCACAACTTAGTATGACTTCCTTGTTGTCATTCGTCCATCCCATAATGTTGGAGGTATTTTGGGTTTTTTTGTTGTTTTGTTAACTGGTACCTGTTTTATCAATGACCATAAAATGTTATGGCGACCCCAGATTTAGTATTGCTGGGTTAAATGTGTTTCTTGATTATCTTGGTGCAAACCGGAGTTGTTGTTCTATTTTGGATTGACAACAGTGGCGGAAAAGAGCAGAACTTGACCTGGTGGCAAGCATTTCCCGAAGTTAACATGAGACTTCTGGGTGTGTTTCTTCTTGGGTGCTCAGCCTCACACTTTAAAGGGTCCGTGTCTTCTAAAACCTTGTCTCCCCCCACCTTTGAAAATTAGGCCTCTCTTAAAGTGCCTTGCTTTGGAGAGCCTTTTGTGGGACCTTCTACTGCTTGGGAATGTGGGGCTCCTTCCTGCGAGCGTAGAAGGGCTCCCAGCCAAGCGGTAGATGGGAGCTGGCATCCGAGGCCAAGGATTTGGCCAATGCACTTTCCAAAGCATTAAATGTCAGACAGGGGTTTTCTGGGCAAAGGGTTGCTGCGATGCTCACGTCCGCTTGTGAGTGGTGGTTTAGGAGTGATGGATTTGCAATGTACTATTGAAAGTGAAGCCTACAGAGCTGGGATTGTTCTGATCTTCTCGGGGGTTATCTTCGGGCCCTAGCAAAGGCTTGAGTGCTTTGGTCTCAGATTCTCAATCTCCTGCTTCCCACAGATCTTGTTTCCTCCTCCTCTTCCACTTCCCTTGCA